CACTTTATATGGGACACCGCCACAGCATGGCTTGCCAAGCAGTGCGTCGGTGCGCGCCCGGGATCCGAACCAGCGAACCCCGGGCTGCCGCAGCGAAGCGCGCGCACTTAACCGCTTGCGCCACCGGGCCGGCCCAGCGGGCACTAATTTAACTTGAGCCTCTTGACTCCAAGAGGACATCGCCCATCCCACCCAACCCTGAATGAAAACTAAGTTGTAAGAAACAATGTCCAAGAAATAGTTTATTCTGAACAAGGAACACCGCCTACTTGAATGGAGCCAGGAAATCCAGCATCTCTCGGGCTACTTCCTGCTCCTACCCCTCATTCGTGAACTCAGCCCAGCGAGAAGTTCCAAGTGCTGCCAGGGTCACAGTGGAGAGAGAAGCAGCCCCGCTGTTTCCTGGAGAGGACAGGACGGTGCCGACGGGGAATGAAGAATGAAACGTGTGCAAGACAAGGAGACTTCTGTGGACAACACAGTCTAGACATAGCCTCGGTTCAAAGGAGGAAAACAATAACGATTTCTTTTTGTTTTTTAAATAAAAATATAAAAACACACCATACATTAAAATGTCTCTTAAGAAATCTAAGAGATGACATTGACAGCCCCAAGGATTGATTTATGATGTAAAAAGTGAAAATTGGAAGTTGGATAAAAAAATAAACACACAATTGAACTTTAACAGGGATATACGGATATCGAAGACTCCAGGAAGAAAAGTTCAAAGAATCCTAAACACCAGGCTTGTTTCTACAGAAAACTGACCTGCCAAATGAGTTAATTGGGAAACTTTCTCCAAATGATGATGACGCTGCTGAGAAAAGATGGCTACCATTCAGTGAGTGGTATGTACTGGGTGCGTTCCACACAGGATGTTATTAACCCTATAACAACCCTGCAAGGTTAGTTTTATTGTCTTCACTATAAAACGAGGAAACTTGACAGGTGATTACACAATTTGCTAAGGTCCCCGGTTAATAAAGAGCAGGGCTAGATCTGAACACAGGTCCCCCTCCAAGTCTAAGCTTCATCCTCGATGCCACAGCATCTCCCAATTCAAAGGCAAAGTGCTCCCTGAATAGATCATCACGTCATTTGTTTTTTGTTTTGTTTACAGTGTCCTCTTAGAATAAACTTTCTAAACATGCATGCTTCCTGATTTATCAAGATGGGGCTGCCCCGTCAATGGCAGTTGGGGACCCTCTTTGAGACAATGCTGATGAGACCACTTTATACCCTTCCAGGAAAGAAATCCTGGAAGGGGATGGAGACTGAGAGTTCTGCTGCGGGCCTGGGTTTTGGGAGGGACTCTGATGACATTCTACAGGAGTGGCCGATGCTCAGTGACTTGACCTTCTGAATGGGCATCTACTTGCCATCCCAGCCCCAGGGGTGGGGTGGGGGCGGGGCCTGCTGAAATTAAAGGAGAGGGGGCAGTCATCAGTGAAGGAGGGAGAAGTGCCTCTGCAGCACCAAGACCTGGGGGACCAGGCTGGGCTGCAGGCCGCGCCATCTCAGGTCAGGACTGGCCAGGCAGAGAATGCAAATGAAGACACTTTAAGTTTTGCACCAGGATCCGAGAATGGTGTTTCCATGGGAAGGGCAGACACATCACATGTTTCTTGTGCCGTTGGGCTGCACTTCAAAAGTACTGTCTAATGAGCCAGGATGGACCGAATTGCAAAGTTGTGATGCTCTAATTGCTTTGGGAGGTGGGAGTACACTTCAAATATCAGGGTATATTTTGCATGTGTAAACAATTTTATAAATTTCAAAGGTTTTGGATGTCTGCTTCCCAAATGGATTCTCCCAATAACCTTGTAATTAGAGGTGGGGTGGAGAGCTGCTGAACCCCTTTGGCAGATGCAGAAAACTGAGGCACAGGAAGGGCAAGACTTGTCCAAGGTCGCGCAGGGAATCAGTCGGGCAGCTGAGATCAGAACTCTGGCTTCCCTACTAGGAGCCCAGGGCTCTTTCTGCATCTGATGTTGTCAGGGGTGAGATAGGGACCATTGTGGCATGGAGACGGGCTGCTGGTGGGCAGGGCAGAGATGTGTGCAGTCCCGCCGGGCAGCCGCAGGTGGTGGCTTAGCTGCTGCAGCCCCGGGAGCAGGCGTGGGCGAGAATGTTGTTGTTGCACCCGTCCTGGAGCTTGCCCTGGGCCTGGCTCCCAGCTCGGCCCTCCGGGTCCAAGAGCTGGCCGCTCTGCCCCTGCTGCCTCCTCAGCCTGCAAAGAAGCACAGCACAGACCTGAGTTAGCGACACGGGGCTGGGGATGTCCAGGAGACACGTCAGGGGAGGCAGAGCGACTGAGAAGCCTTCAGCCCACACCTTCCCTGGGCCTGGTCTAGAGTGCTGTGCTCTGCAGCCAGGCAGGCCTGGGGCCAAAGCCCAGCTCGGGTGCGCCCAGGTGAGTCACCTAACACAGAGAGCCTCAGTTTCTTTATCTGTAAAATGGAGGTCATAATTCCTCCCTCACGGCACCTCGTGAAGTCTACAGGGGATCAGGTATGTAATTTGCCTGAGTTCACGCAGTCAGTAAAGGTGGTGAGCCCCCGCATCATTCATTCATATATTCAGTGAATGCCCACTGAGGTACCAGCCACCAGGCCTGGGAGCAGAGGAGACCCTGGCGAGCAAAGCAGTCACAGTCTCTGTCCTCATGGAGCTCACGGTCTAAAGGGGGAGACGGGCACTAAGCAAATTGTCCCACAAATAAACATCCAAACAGATGAGCACCCAGACTTAACAAAAGAGCCCGTGATGGACTGTGTTAAGGGAGTTTGATTCTGAACATTGCATTTCTTAGCAGCTGGGCAGCTGGTCACCTTCCACATGATTTAAGATGTCAGCATCCCTCTCTTTCTGATCTTCAAGTTCAGGTTCACACCCTATCCCACAGCTGTCACTGCATGTGGATGGTGCAGGAAAAAATGGAATTGAGACATTTAAGGAGGCAGTAAGAAGTCCGAGAATGGGAAGAACTCACCTCAAACCCTGGCTCTCAACACTGGCTACTTGGGCCAAGGGGTCAACCTGCCTATCTTCTTCTGAGCCTCAGTTTCCCTATCTAAACCCGGGGACAGTATCATGCACTTGGCAGGAGGCTAAGGGGAAGCAGAGAGAATGCATGTGAAACATCTGGTACAGAGCCAGAAATAATAATATTACAGTTCTTCCTTGTTCCGAAAGACACAGGTTTCAGCCTTTTATGTTTTTTTTACATTAGCCTGTTCTGTCAAACGGAGCGCAGACCTATCGCCTGGTTTAAATGGAAGCGTCGTTCCTTCCAGCAAACACCTGGGTGTGCTTGTCATGTGCAGAGCACTGTGGATGATCCCCAGATGAGTACGACACCGTCCACGGCCTCAGACGGATCACAGCTGTGTGTGTGTGCGCTAGTGCGTGGTGGGGATGCCTAGCGTGCGCACAGTGCCCTATTTGAGTGAGTCCTTCAGGTTACTAAAATACCAGCAGCAACACGGTCTTTTCTAAGGCAGCGACTTGGCGGTGCCTGCCTCCTGCCCTCTGTCCACCTGCAGGGACCAGGACCAGGTGAGCAGTCCCTCCACCCCCGAGGCTTGCGGCTCTCAGGAAGGACGACTGGGAAAGGTGGTCAGGGTTACAACACGTCATCCTAGTGGAGTAGGGTCAGGACCCAGCGGACAGGGCTGGGATCCAGAGGACAAAGATGCAGCATAGTGATGAGAGAGCCCGATGAGTGAGAGATGGATTCTGAAATCTTGTGTGGATCAGAGAAGGCTTCCTGTAGGAGGCAGCATTTGAGCTGGACTTTAAGGACTGGTATAGAATGTGGGTAGCTGGAGGGAGGGAGGGAGGGAGGGTGGAGATTTGAAATGAAGAGATGCCAGTGAAGGAAGGCAAAGAAAGTGGAAAAGAACACTGCAGTGTGGACCAGAGTCCTCTCTGGAGGTGACAGTTTCAGCCACTCTGGCACCTCCTTTTGGTCAGAGCTAAAGTAGGAGGAGTAGGCCAGAGGAATAGAATTAGCTATTTCAAGTCTCCGCTTCTCTATGGAGGGTCATACATAGAATACTGTGACCACGAGTACTGGAGGCCCAGAGCGGTGACTAAATGAGGTGTGGGTCATGCCTCTTGCAACCTACCACCAGGTTCAGTGTGAGCCAAGGAGGCAGAATCAAGAAGGAAGGACCCTTCTATGGGCAGCCACCTGTTCACCTACAGCCTAGAGAGCTGGGATTCTAATCTAGTTCTGGGAGGCTCCAAAGCCTGCATTTCTCCCCCTACATCTGCACTCCCACCCACCAACCATTCACCATCCCTCCACCATCCACTCATCCATAAATGCATCCTCTCACCCATCCATTTTCTGTCCACCTATCCACCTATTTCCTGGTCCATCTGCCCATTAGTTTACCCCCTCCATCCATCCATCCATCCATCCACTCCCATATGTCCATCCATCTTTCCCACCCCCACCCCCACCTGTCCACTCCTACTCACCTACCTGTCCACCCCTCATCCACTTACCTCTTCACCCACCCACCCATCCACCTCCCATACACACACACATCCATCTATCTACCTCCTCCATTCATCATTCACCCATCTACCAATATGACTGTCTATCTACCTATCTTCTCTTCATTGTAGTGTTAGCCCTGATAGTTGGCTTTTCTTTTTGTAATGCAAGTGCCTGACTTAAGCTTTGATTGCAGAGGCATCCTCTTCAAAGAGGGCTATCTTGAACAAACGCATTGCCAGCCACGTGACTAGATAAAGAGCCAGGCTGTCTTCCCCACTGCAGGCTCCTTTGTTTTAGAGATCTTGGTTGATTTCCATAACTGACCATTTGGGCCCCTTGTTTTTTCTCTTCCTGTGCTTCAAATTCTTGCTCTTACATTTTATTTTTTTATTTTTCTTGCTCTTACATATTAAATTCACCAATAAAGAGTGAGCCCTTGAAACCCTAGGCCCCCACCCTTGACCCCAATAAAAGTAGAACCCCAGGCTCACTCTCTCTCCCCCAGCACCCCCACCCGTGACCTTGCTGTGTGGCCCCAGGTGTGCCATGCAATTTCCAGGACCTGTAAATAGCAAAACTTTTTTTTCCTGAAGTTTCCTGATGGTTATTGCTGAGGGCATGTTGCAATCATAAGAAGTACAAAGGCCAGTTCAGTCACAACATTAGTTATCAACTGGCTGAGACCGGCATACAATACTCATCCATTTATCTAATTATCCACCTATGCACCTGTCCATCCATTTCATCTATTCACTATCCACCCATCCATTGATCCCTCATACATCCTCTATTTACCCATCTACTCACTCACCACCACCGACTCGTCTCCCACCCATTCATTCACCCATCCATCCAGTTATCCACACACTCCCATATGTCCATCATCTACCCTCAATCCTCTCCACCCCACTCACCTGTCTATCCACCCCTCATTGACTGACCTAATCACCTGTCCCCCTCCCATACACCTGCACATCCACATATTCACCCATTGATCTATCTATCTATGTCATCCATTCATCATCTACCCATATATCAATCCATCCATCCATCTACCACCCCCATCCATCTACTCATCCACCTATGTACTCATCCCTCCATTCACCCATCAATTCATCCATTCACTATCCACCCATCCATTGATCCACCCATATACCCCCTATTTACCCATCAACCCACCCATCCACACCCCATCCATCACCTATTCATCCACTATCTATCCACCTATCTAACTATCTATCCACCACTCTTCTGCTTATCCATTCATCCATCTACTCCCATATTTCCATTCATCACTGGCACTCACCCATCTGATCAATGCCTATCCACCCTCCACCCATCCACCCATTCATCCCCCTATCCTTTCACTCATCATTTCCACCAGTATTATCTGTGGGCCAGGCTCTGTGTGCCAGGCTCACAGTTGAACGGGCTGGGGAGCAGGACAGAGAACACACTGAACGTTCACTGTGAGGAAGTGTCTGCTGGAAGGAAGCAGTATGACATAGCGTTAAGGGGCTGGGCTTAGAGCCAGGCTGTTTCTACCCCTGGGTCTGCCACTTACTAGCCATGTGACTTTGGGAGGCTGGCTTCAAACCCAGGGCTCTCTGTCTCCAACATCCCTGTTCTTTCCACTGAAACCTATGCCATTCAATCTGGACCTGGAAGGAGAAGAGCATGCAATGATTTCTCTATGTTCTGAAGGAATTAGAAAGGCTCACGTTGCTCAAATAAGAATCTGTGAACCACGACAGAGATATGAAACCATTATGGTTGGCTCGGAGAGCTCACTTATATGACTAGCCCACAGCCCAGTTATCTATAACTCAGGAGGAAATGAAAAAGCATTTTACATATCCTACTAGGTGTAGCTCAAGTCTGCAATGCAAATTGGCCAGCTATCTCTGCAATGGCAGGAACATTTAATTTTCTCAGCAACTTATCAAATTGATTGTCAGCTTTGTGACCAGAATTCTGAGCGAGGGATGTGAGCACTCTCAGCCTCCTGAACCCAGCCATGAGATGCCAGAAGGCAGTGCTCTGTCACAGAGAACCTCTATCAGCAAGAGTAGGACACATATTAAAATGGGTAATAAATTGGGCTGAAGGCATTTTTCAAAGGCAAAGCTCCACACAGGACTAAAATAAAATGATTGCAATCAAACTAACATCAAATCAAGCTATTTCACATACCAAGGATGGAGTCTTGGTATTGATGTTTAATACCAACATCAACCTCCAGTAGACGGCCCGCAGACGAGGCCGGCCCTCCTGCATGAGAGAGACCAGCTTTCGCCTCCGCAGTGTGCTTTACAAAGAGAAACACTCTTAAGTGCTTTCACACCTACTCGCATCATTTCACTTGTCTCCTGCACGTCGTTCCTGACTGGAGAATTCCGGAGCGGCCGTGCGGTGTAGTGGGAGAACGCAGGCTTTGGAGTCTTACAGAATCAAAGCAGAATCCCAGCTTCGCTGTTGCCTGCTGAGTGGCCTGGGGCACCTGCACCACTTCTTTCAGCCTCTTCCCTTCACTGTAACATGGGGACAACGCTTCCTTAAAGGAGAAGGTGAACTAATGTGTGCTTTCCGCTGCCCTGGAGCAGGCACTTTACAAAGGGCAGCTATTTTCATGATGATGATTGCAGTGGGGAGATACTCCCATTTTGCTGGTGGGGAAACTGAGGATCAGTAAGTAAAACTTAACTTCCTGCCGTGGTTCT